TAGGCCCCCCCCCCCACAAAGAAAATATGCAGATTTTATTGGCTGGCAACGATTTCGCGGAATTGCGAGACACAAAGCTGAAACTTTGCGTGGATATTCTCTGTGCTTGTGCAAGCTAAAGATTTCATATTTAGCTGCCGCGCACTCTTTTGAAGCGTGTACGACCACGTCAAAGTTTGCGACTTGCTACTGGGCTAACTCGAAAACTTGCTGCAAAACAGTGGCTGAGATTTTGTCAGCATGTTTGTCGCTCATATAGAAAACCGTATGCCTAAAATGAGTGCCGATTTGCACATGTGCCACGACATAGGGAAACTTCAAAGATATTTCTAGCGAAGTGGATATTTCGCTTACTGGATAAGCTGCGAGGCTGAAAACTCGCTGAGATATTCTACTTTCAAATGTGGTATTGATTCTGTTTGGAGGTAAAATTCTCTGCAGGTGGGCGTGAGAAATACCCAACTTTACAGAAAAATTAGAAACGAGTGCATTTTGCAGTGAACGACTGCCCTCATCTAAATATGTAAATAAAGATTCAGTTCACTTGCATACTTGGATTTTCTGACAAACGGCCGTTCGAGCAACATTTTCACTTTTTAGTGAACTGGAAATTTACATTTTTTATTTTTTCAGAAAGCGAGCATTTACCGAAATGACCGGGTTTCATGCAAAATATAGGTAATCATTTACCCAGAGAAACATGCGGTTCTGCAATGCACCACCGTCATCCCAACCGACGCCCTTTCTCCTGCATGCCGGAAGGGGCCGAAGCACGGCCAATATGAACAAGTGTTAGGCCACAGCGCAGTAATCATTCCTGCTATCAGCGACCTGCGAGTTTGGTGCAAAAGCGCATGATCGCACCGGCAAGCCGGGTACGTTCCAGCCTAGGTTTAGATAACTGCGCCATTCAATGGCTCCAAAGGAACAGTGAAGTCGTAATTCGAAATCCTATTGCTAGATCATTCCGAATGAACTGTTGCAGATAATATGAACATAAATTCAGCTCCTTGTTTGTTGTAGTGTGATCTTTGACGTTTAAGATGCAGTGCTTGCAGCAGTTCTGGAAACTTTCATTAGGACAAGAGGCAGCTTTTACTTTTAAATATCAGTGCAAAATTAGCCGTTACATCCGGAAAACGACTGCAAGCAGAAAATTTCAACATGAAGCGGCTTAATCAGCATTAAATCACAAAAGGATTTAAAAAAAAGATTTTAGAAAAATGCTGTTTAGCGATAAGCAACACTAGGGAACAACCTACTGGCACAGCAGCTTGTTAGTGTCTTAACAGTGCAGCCTCGATTTCATGTCGTACTACTGGTACCGTCTGAAACTAAAATGCAACCCTTTAGCAATTCGCACTTCATTGCTATATTATAAAAATCCAGAGCTGCAATTTTGCCTTGATTGTACGATCTTAGTGCTTGTTAAAACTTATATTTATATACATTTATATATATATGTGTTTTATCAATAAGCGTGCAAATATACGTGTATTATTGTGAGGTCTTATGACTTACATATATTTG